GATTGACAAGAGCTTTGTGTTTCCGTCTCCGAGTAAAATAGCATGGATTTCCCACGCGCACCGATCTCTCCTTCCGATTAGGAACTGTTCCCATCGATTGTCAGTAACCTCCACGTATCCGTTTGTCAGAAAGCTGTAAAACATTCAAGTGTAGAAAATATACGCGTGTGACACACATGGGTGAACCGGAAGTACTGTTGCCCCCAAGTATAAGTGACCATGCAAATCACGTCGTCACGTCTACAGTTTTGGCGCCATTCGTATACATGGAAACGTTCATAATATCCTGTGCTGGCGTAATCTAATTTATCCATCTGTTTACAGTAGTGTGGAAATGTTCTCCATTTTAATATAGCGTAATGGTGTTCCTTTATAACGTTAGAATGGAATTAGGCTCCGTGAGAATGAATACATTTCCAGTTAACTTCAATCAACAGTGAATAATACTACTACTACTAATAATAATAATGAACATTCAAGATTCTTCTAATATGAGTACATCAATCATACAGTCACTATTCGGGAAAGGGGGATCGCGATCAGTGGTATGGTGCCAATCAGGGACATCGAGGGGGTCCAAACAGGGAACACAGAAACTAGCTTGACTACAGTTGCATGAGCGAGTGGTGCTCTATCCAAACAACTTAACTGTTTTTTGAATTGTATGACCTTCAACTCCCAATTCGGCGATTCCTCCTCTATGTATCAGCCACCGAACTGCACTATACACTCACAACCAGCTACACATAGGATCAACAGCAGCAAAGTCACACAGAGACTGAATTCGTCTCATTTGTGGAACAAGAAAATTGTTGCTCTATGAGGGAGTTAAAGTTAACCTTGAAATAATTCAAAAGATAGAATCGATGTTACTGGTTTTTTGGTTTGGTTTTAACGATAAACATCAAAACTAAGTTTCTTGCATGGAAATAAAACTCAGTCAGACTGAGGAGAATCCAACCGAAACAGTCGTTAAAGGTGTTTTGCGGGTATCATCTGTATTCATAACGGTGTGAATACAGTGTTCAACGAACCTCAAACTCTGTCGGTGTCGGTGGGTTCTCCGAAGCCGTTTCCCCGCTGATGTTGCCACAGTGACTACGAAAGGTCTGCAAACTACACTTCTAGCTCAAAGAACCCGCCAACACCCACACACCAAGTGAAAATCATCCTACATTATATTCAAGTCAAGTCAAGAAAAGCATTATATTAACCCAAAGAGTGAATTTTCAGTAATTTATGATTTTAACAGTCGATAGACAAAACCAGTTGCAAACTTAAGAGACAATATAAAACGTTTTACACTTTAGTAAATGAGAGAAAAATAGTGCAACAAATCTTACCTGAGATGGGTGGGAATAGTCTTACGATTAGCCAGTAACCGACCAAGGTATGGAATTATACTGTTTCAATATGTGGAAGTACTCGCAGGAAGGAGTTGATATTTGGAGCGAGTTCGGGGATTTCACAGAACTTTCACGGCATCTTGGCGTGTACGGTGGTCCTGATCACGTTTTACCCTGTCTATGAATGTATCACAAGCGTCAAGATGCTTGGAAAAAAGATATCAACCAAAAACAACTCTATCAACTCCACTATGTTGGGACAGAGGTTAAAGGAATCTGAAAAATATTGAAGTCATTATTTTCAGTCCAGGGATAAAAATAGGGTAGCAGTTTAACCATTGTAAAGAACGCCGGCAATCACAAATTTAAAAATAAGATTCTGTGGTATGGCCAGTTTCCTGAGCCTTTACGCATACAAAAATAGTTTTTGAAACTTTAGGAAAACTGAAGCAATTATTTCCCGAGATAAACTTCAACAAAGAACGATACTACTTTAGATTTTGCTCTGATGAACTTTCCGCATCTGTCCCTCTCCCACTTGTTCTTCCTCGCAAGGTGCGATGTCCGCAATAAGCTAGCAAAGATGGTTTGTGCTATATCATGTAAATGGAAAATAAAAAACGGTCTGATCAACTGCCCGGTGGCGTAGTGGGTAGCATGCCTGCGTTCTGTCCAAGAATTCCCGGGTTCGATCCGCAGTTAGGTCAATGGATTCGACCCAACCAGGTCGGAACAGCTGTCCATTGCTTTCGAGCTTTTCAGTTCACGCTTCATTTGCTCTCTATACACGACGAATTCCCATTTGAGAATTGATACCATGTTAGATTATCAAAACATGCGATATATAAACTGATTTGTATTCTGTAATAAACACCAGTTGCAGCGAAATGATTCCGGAATTAATTTGTGTCCTCTTGCATTGTTTCTTTTTGTGAAAACTTTGATGACATGAACAGGCCAGGCCCGGGTATGGGTTAGGGTGACACCAAGGTATTTAACGGATACGGATGTGATAATACTTGATTGGTAACTCTAAAATCAGGGAGATTAATAACTAATGAAAGATAAGGAGTATCGGTTTTAAGACTAAATATAACTTCAGTGCACTTACTGATGCTAATCACAAGGGATCGGGTCAGTGAACAATCATGAAGTTCATTAAGAATGTCCTGGAGGGGTCGGAAACTGAGTGAAGTAGGAGATGGGCAATCAATCACAATATCGTCAGCATACGTACAAGCAATAAAGTTGCAGGAAATGAGGAGATTCTGTATAAACATAGGAAACAAGAAATTGGGGACAAAATAGCATCCTGACGAACACCGGCATCACTGGTAATAGAAGAAGACTGTAACCCATTCAGTGAAGTAAACTGGTTTCTACGGGAGTAGTCGATTAGTACATTCAAGACTTCAGGCACTAGACCACTCTCGGAAAGACGTTCAATAAGCACTCTTCGGTTGAGAGAGCAGAAAGCGTTTGTGTGATCAGGAAACGTTAAACGAGTGGTACCGGCACCATTGTCTAAGATGGAAGTAATAGAGTGAACAATATGAGCAACGGCGTCAAGTGTGGACAGATGGGGTCTATAAGCCAATTATAAAGGGTCATGGAAGTTACAATGGGGTACTATGCGGCGTAGCAAAACATTTTCAAAAGCCTTCAGCAACAAGAATCTGCAGGCGATTGGACAATACTTTACGATTCTTTCTGTGGGATTGGTCTAATCTGGGCTGACCTGCAAAAATACGGGATCGTTCGGGATGACAAACAAGTACTGAACAATTCTGCAATGGCTGTTGCAAGCTGATGCGCGCCAGCTTTCCCAGCTGAAACCCTGCTTCGAATCAACATTTCCCCTCCCTATGACTTATCCCATCATTCGGCATTAGTTTCCATCAACAAGTATATCTTTTGAATTACGAAAATTATCCCGATTGAAAAATGTGTTTGGAATAACATTACAACCAAAGTCCTGATAGAAAATTAACACTATTCGTCAAATATGGATTTGGAAAGTGCAATGTAGGCGAACATATGTTTTCGGTGATTTACTTTTCAATACTTTACATTTATAGAATGTCAAGCTTGAATTAGTCCATTCGATTATTCAGAGACACCAGGTACTCTTGATGGTCTTCGGTTTGGGTTTCACTCCTTGGGAGATCGTTAATTCCCTACTGTTTGTATGCATTTAAACGCGATGGAAATGTTTGTGATAACCAACAACCCCCGCGTTGTTGTTATTGTTAATATTGTTCTGGCGTTGGCACCAAGCTTGTTCTCAAGCCGGTGATAAATATCTATATACATATCGTCCTGTTTGGGACTCGTCAGCAGTGCGTACCTATTGTGTCCCTGTCAGGACTCGAACCGCGATCAGTCGGGTCGGGACTTCAAAC